TTTCATGCAGGAATTCCCTTCCAGCCCTACCTGGGAATTGAACCTCACTGAGCTATGGACCTTACCTGAACCCACCCACCCATTGCAATAACCATATGAGGTAGGTTAGACTGAGAGAGTATAATTGGTTGCCCAGTAAGATCCTTTAAGGCGACAAAGGTTCAAACCTGCATCTTCCAGTCTGAACCCTCTACCCATTAAGCTTGCCCTTTCTTCAAATAAAATGCAGGTGTGTGTCCCCTGGGGGCAGCAGGGGAGGACTGCACCCGTTTCCTGGTTCTCAAAACCCTCAGCGCACACGTCAGCTCAGGAAAGCACAGCAGCAGTTTTTAAAGAGCGAGATGTTTGTCTCCCCTGCAGCATTCATTACTGTGATGTTTGCACCTTTCTCAGTCGAGACCATTAGCAAAGATATTAAATAGGCACCAAACCCTGTAAAAATCCACTTCTTCTCAGCTTGATTTGTTATTACCCTTTGTTTACAGACCTCCGGGCAATTATCAGATATGAGAGTGTTCATCTCCATGTCAATTTGAATTAAATTCCTTCAGATGCTAGTTATACAACTCATTTGAAAGGGAAAGGGAGGGGGAGAGGCAATCAAAGCTGTCTAGTAACATCGGGCTCCTTTCTTATGGCTCTGCGATGACGTCCTTGTGAGACCTGATCTGATGTTCTCCTTCCGCTACCAACTGCCCCATTTTAAGCTAAGAACCATTCAGGGCTGGGCAGACCCCACCCCAGACTTGTGGGATCTCCTTTGTTTTTACTAGATTCCTGAACTCCATCAAGCACACCCACATGCATAATAGTGGGTCTGAACAAACCCACAGCAAGAATTGAGGAACAGGGTGTTTCTTGGGACATATCCAGCCCGTCAAACAAACCTCACATGTCATTTTATGCAAAAACAAAAACAAAACACACCTCTGACATTCTTTACAACAACCTATTTCGGCTTAGGAGGCTTGCTAAACATTTTCGTTGTTGTATTATAAGATCATTGTTGGCTTGTACATTGAAATGGAAAATAACACTGCAATATGTCTGTATGTTTACTCTGTAGCATAGCATGGAAACTTCCCTTGCAGCTGAAGAAGAGCTGCAGAGAGCCTAACAATGATTAAGTAAGGTTGTATCTTTGTGCCTCACTCACAAGATGTTTAACTTAAATCCCCTGAAAAGTACAGTAGTACCTCGGGTTACAGACGCTTCAGGTTACAGACTCTGCTAACCCAGAAATAGTACCTCAGGTTAAGAACTTTGCTTTAGGAGGAGAACAGAAATTGTGCAGCAGCGGCATGGCGGCAACAGGAGGCCCCATTAGCTAAAGTGGTGCTTCAGGTTAAGAACAGTTTCAAGTTAAGAACAGACCTCCAGAACGAATTAAGTACTTAACCCGAGGTACCACTGTATACAATTACAAGGCTATGCGTATGCTAATCTCTCAGTTTCAATCTTGGGTGGAGTGAGCTTTTGTTCTGAAGCTGCTGAAGAGAATGGAGTGCTAATATCTCTCTCCAAGAAAACCAGCTCAGGCCAACTCAAGGCTGTTTAGAAGAGGCAGGGCTTTGACCTTTTTTTAAGCTCTGGATGCAAGATATTTCACAATCTAAGAAAAGTGCCCCATGCTCAGAGAAGCATAATATATTATGCATCTATCTGAATGTATCTCTATTGTTTTTAAGTCATTTTGGAGTAAAGTTCTGCTGGTAAAGCTTTTGAACCATATTTTTGGAGTAGACAATTTTTATTTCAAGAAGAGCCCATTTTTATTCATCCAGTTTGCATCCATATGTGCAATACCAATAACCCCAATAGACCTTCTTCTTGACCTCAACAGGAGACTCCAGGGATTCAACCTGTGGCCCCCTGCATAAGAACCTGTTGCTCTACCAATGAGCAACAGCCTTTGCTGATCTACTTTCTGCCTGTCCGTGGTTTAACATTGGACTTGGTTTAAATCCATACTCAGCCACAAAGCTCCTAGGGTGGCGCTGGGCCAGTTGCTGTCTCTCTACCTATTTTACAGTGGAGAGTTGAAATGGGAGGAGGGGTTTCCATGTACATCACTATGGTCAACTTGGAGAAAGGCAAAGGTAGACAGTGGGAACTTCTGACACCTTCTAGAACTCTTAAGCTTGGGCAGTTGGTAATACTAGTACAGATATATAAATGCACATATATCTAAACTATGGCATTTTGTAATCATATGTGGCTGGCTTGGGGCTCTTCTGTTCCCTGAAGTAGCAGTTTTGCTACCCTCTTGGAGGGAAAGGGGATGCCTCTGGTCCACAGAAGACCTCACTCTCCATTGCAGCTGGGTCCTTCAAGCACAGCTTGACTCCCAAGTGAAGCCTTTGTTTTCTAAGCAGGGAGCTAACCTCTCATTCCTGTGCATGGATGTTTAGTAGCAGTAGTAGCAACAATATTCCATGGAATAAAAAGAGGGCTTATTCCATTAACCATCCCAGCTTTGTTCAAAAAGACCCCACAAATCTCTGCAAACTCTCAAAATGTCTTCTTGTTGTGCAATAAATTGCTTCACAAAACACCACCAATACTTGAATTACTGCCTGGCTGGGTCTCTTCTTTATCTATCAGAGGGTGAAAAGAAGATAAAATAATCAATACTTTTCATTTTTCAAGCCGAGTCTTGGCAATAGGTAGGAGAACTCCCACCGCCCCTTGATTTTTCTTAACTCCAGTGTTTCAGGCACAAAATTATTGGCTCTAAAAGTTGCCAAAATGACCATTTCTCTTTCTCTTTCTCTTTCTCTTTCTCTATTCTTCATTTTTTTTAGATGCAGAGAGACCTGAACTTTTACAACGGTACTCTGGATTAGAACTAAACTGAAATTAGCATAAATATTTGTATGTACATTTCAAGATAGGTTTCCTTGCTCATTATTTTGTGTTGATCTCAGCTGCCTTCAGAGTTGTTGTTGTTGTCGCTGTTGCCTGCCTGCCTGCCTGCCTGCCTGCCCTCCCTTCACCATCAGGTCCCAAGGCTGGTTACAACCATTTAAAATCCAGTATTAAAAGCAATGCAAAACAAACTGCAGTCACAGTAATAGGGTAGATCCTGCAAACGCATATCTCAGGTGTCAAATGCAAAGGGATGTGTCTCCAGCATTCACCCAAAGTTGTATAGTCAAGGTACCAGATCCACCTCTGTGGGAGGAAATTTCAGAACTTAGGGGCTTCCACAGAGAATGCCCCCAAAATTCTGAGTGAGGTGAAATGACCAAGAGGGTCCCCTCTTCTGTTCTGGAAACTGAGAGGGTCTCACTAGTGTAAGCCCCTTAAATTAAACCCCAAAACAAAATGGTGGCCAATTAAGCTGTTTCAGAAAAGGGGTTATATGAGCTCTGGAGGCAAATATCTGCCCATAACTTGGCCGCTGCATTTTGGACCAGTCCAAGTTTCTGCTTCATCTTCAAGGGCAGGCTCATGTACAGTGAATTGCAATAATCCCATCTGGAATTTACCAGAGCATGGAGTACCACAGGCAAGTCTGCTAGCCATTGAGGTCATATGGGTCTCAAGTAACATTGCTGGATCCAGGAGTGCCCCCAAGTTGTGAACTCACTCCTTCCAAGGAAGTGCATTGTTTCATTTTCCTTTTTTATTCATCACAAAGTGCACTGTTTTTCTCTGCTGGCTTCTTCCAGACCAGTGACTCTGATAGGGATGGGTGAATCTGTCAATTTTAGTTCCTCTCAGTTTTTTCTTCATTTTACCCAGTATTAAGTTGAATTCTCCATATGTCCACATCTACTTGTGATGTGTGTGTGTGTGTGTGTGTGTGTGTAAAAAGCTTCACCTCATGAAAACTGATCAGCATTTTAGTGTGAATTTTGCAAAATATACCCATTTCTGTATAGAATATTGCAACCCCTCTTGATCTTACAACTAGAAACTTGCACACCTCTTTTAGACACTAATAGACAGCCAAGTAAAGAAGATACGTGCCTGCCATATCTAGTTATGTTGTGGGAAACCTTAGACCCAGGGGTCAAATATGGCCCTCCAAACCTATTTGCCTGGCCCTTGGGTCTCTTGCCTAGGCAGTTGTCCTGCATACACTTCAAGTGTCCTGATTTTCCCAGGATATCCCAGAATTGTAGATGCCATCCCAGCTTCTGATTTGATCCTGGAATGTTCCTGTCCACCCCCTCCAGCGCCAGCACTGAGCTCAGGAGAATGAGCCATCACTTGCAGCCATTTGCTGTGGTGCCACACATACATGCGAGCCAACTCACAGCACCAAAAGACACATGTCCTGGTTTTCAATGGAGGAATGTTGGAGGGTATATAGTGAGTCAAGCCATGGTTCTGTCTATCTCTGTATTCCCCACACTGACAAGCATCACTCTCCAGACTTTCACAAGGGCATTTTTCACAAGTCCTACCTGCTGTAGCTCCATCCGAGTCCCATTGCAGGGGCTAGGAGTCTTTGAAGCACTCTTGCCTGAGAGCAGAATCCACATATGAAGTCAAACAGGTCTAGAGGCCAGTTGATCACAGAAGCAAGCAGCAAGATTGACCTGGAAACCACTGGCATTGTTTCCAGCATCTGCCTGCTGCTGAGAGCTCTGTTTAAGAAGGCTGGAGCTGAATGGTTCTCATCTATGCCTTCTCCCATGGGAAGGCTAATCAGCTGCAAGTGGAGTCGCTCCCTCTTCTCCCTCTTCAGGCTGCTGTTCAGCAGGTGCAGCTAACTTCACCTGCTGAACAGGTTCTTCTATGACACCACCTGGAGATATTAAGAATTAAACCTGGAACCTTCTGCATGCAGCGCAGATGCTCTAGCACCAAGGTAAAGTACTTCTCCTTGCCTGGATGGAGCAATGAGAGTGTGTGTTTGTGTGTAAACCTATGAGACATAGGGAATTGCCTTAAACCAAGTCATACCAATGGTCCCTCCAACTCAATATTGTCTACAGTTACTGGCAATAGCTCTCCAGGGTTTTGGGTAGAGGTATTCCAGCCCAACCTGGAGACACCAGGGATTGAACCTGGGACATTTGCTTGCCAAGCAGATGTTCTGCGACTGAGGTTTGTCCCTTGATTTTTATTATTTTTATGTGGGTGGAATGGGGCATCCTGTACAAAGCCAAGAATCACAATTGTTGCTCTGTCATCTATTGCCTCTGTGTCCACGCAGTTTTGTTTCCTGCCCTGCCCACAATGGCATGTCCCCCCCTCCCAGAAGGCTTTCTATGAATGGATGTGACCTACAGGCTGGGAAGGGTTCCCTACCCCTGGATTAAAGTGTTGGTTTTAAGCCAGGGTCATTCAAGGACCAAATCCTTACTCAGCCATGAAGATTGTTGAGTGACTTTTGACCACTGACCCTCTCTCTGTTCAACCTACTTGTCAGGGTTGTTGTGATGATAAAGTGAGGAGTAAGCACCACGTATGCCTGTCACTGGAAGGACAGATCCTGAAGCTGAGGCTCCAATACTTTGGCCACCTCATGAGAAGAGAAGACTCCCTGGAAAAGACCCTGATGTTGGGAAAGATTGCAGGCACAAGGAGAAAGGGATGACAGAGGATGAGATGGTTGGACAGTGTTCTCGAAGCTACCAGCATGAGTTTGACCAAACTGCGGGAGGCAGTGGAAGACAGGAGTGCCTGGCGTGCTCTGGTCCAGAGGGTCACGAAGAGTCGGACACGACTAAACGACTAAACAACAACAGCAATGCCTGTCTGAGCTTTTTGGAGACAAGGGACGATAAAAATTATAAGAGGTGCATAACTTTCTTGTTTTGCTCCTTTTCTTTATGATGGATTTACATGCCCTTTTGTTCTTTTTCATTATTGGATTGTCTGGCTCTTAATTTAAGAATATGAAAGCTTAGCTGCTGCTGCTTCTTCTTCTTCTTCTTCTTCTTCTTCTTCTTCTTCTTCTTCTTCTTCTTCACATTTGCCCAGTGCTATACAGTGGTACCTCGGGTTACAGACGCTTCAGGTTACAAACTCCACTAACCCAGAAATAGTACCTCGGGTAAAGAACTTTGCTTCAGGATGAGAACAGAATTCGTGCGGCGGCAGCAGAAGGCCCCATTAGCTAAAGTGGTACCTCAGGTTAAGAACAGTTTCAGGTTAAGAACGGACCTCCGGAACGAATTAAGTACTTAACCCGAGGTACCACTGTATTTCAGTGCCCAGAAGGGCATACAGATGCATAAATGTAAGTCTGTCAATATGGGCTGAAGCTACTGAAAATGCAACTTGTGGAGCAACACTAAGCTTTCAGCCCCATTAGTCAGCAAATGCACCTTGGTTCCAGGTTACCATTTGTGATGTGTGTGTGTGTGTGTGTGTGTGTGTGTGTGTGTATCACAAACACCTGGTGAAATTTGTTTGACTAAATACACATTTAGTCCCTGCTTTGTTGATTGGGACAAAAGAGGGAGAGAGAAGGCATAAGGGGACGTAGAGCGTTAGTGAATCAAGCCCTCAGCTAGCATTTAATTGATAAGAAGTAAAGCTAATATTAGATAACAAATAAATGGTCTGTTGCACAGGCATTTAATTAAACACCAAATTAATGCAGTAATGACCTACTGGAACTAACAGCCAGAAATGCTTTACTGCAGGCTACATCTGGAAGGGTTCACCTTTTCCCCCCATTCTCTCCTTTAGAAACACATTAAGAAGACATACATTTGTTTAAATAGATGGATTAGCGCTCTTCTGCTGCCGCCCGCCTGAGCGTCCTGTGGGTGCAATCCTGCTCCTGCTGAAGTCAGTCACAAAACTCTCCTTGATTTAACTGGGACAGGGTCACAGCTTATTCTGCCATGTTGATGGAATTGGGAGTTTGCTGGATTTTGGGATTCCAGCATTGGTTAGCTGACTGGACACAGTTATACCGGATACAGCTTTACTGTTTAACCAGTTAAACAGGTATGGGGAACCTCTGGAATTCGGGCTGGATGTGCTCTCTCTGGGTTGCCACCTAGCCATCAGGTGTTAAGTTTGAGAGTGGGGTGGAGGGATTTGGTTGATGACCCTAGATGACCCCTGGGTCCCTTCCAACTCTCCAGTTCTATAAATTCTCTGTGCAAAGTGTGCCATTGCAGAGACTTCCTCTGCGAGAAATTCTGCTGCTGGGGGAAAGTTTCATCAGATCATTGCAAACTGTACTCCATGCCTTTTGCAATTGCATGTATACAATTTTCAGGATGCAATCCCATTTTCAAGTTCAAGACTTCATAGAAGGCAGGTCTTGCACTTCAGCTACATATTGGTCTGATTGGCCACCTTCTACTGGAATTACTGAAATATGTTTCACACACACAAATGAAGGTGAAATCTGAGTGGGGTTACTAAGAGTTGAATATTTACCTCTGTTTCCCTGGACAATATTGTTGTGTGTGTGCGTGTGTGCGTGCGTGTTAAGGATGTGTGATAGTGTGGGGTGTAGGACCTGTGAAACATTAGCGCCCAGTGATATAAGCACTCCAATTCCAGCTCCTTTTAAGTCCCCCTGAAATGTATTTTTTTTATTGCTTTAAAGTGTGAAAAATACTTTCTCCCTGCACCTCTGAAGCATGGAAGCACTCAGCTAGCTCCAAGATTCCTCCAAAAAGATAATAATGCCAGAAAGGGCAACACTTCATTTTCCTCAGCCTTTGACACCTTTTTATTCCCTCCCTTTTGCACCCTAGCAGGTATGTTTGCAGAGCAAGTGGCTTTGCCTGGCAACCCAGTGATGCCCTCTGAAGTATGTCATGAGTAGTGAAACAGGAGCATCCATGAGCAGGTTAGGTTTTGTGCCACAGGTTGATCTGATCCAGGCACCACTGTTTTAAGACTAAAGGGGACCCTAAGGAATTCGAAAGTTCTGGGACTTTGCGATCTTTTGGGCAACTTCCAAATGCACCATTTTTATGGTGAGAAAGGCAGTTCTCCTTCAAGCTAAGGCGGCTGGGTTTGAGGGCTCACATTTGCTTAGTTCTGGAACGATGTCCATAAGCCTTTATCAACAAGACCTACCAGAGCGAATAATGCAGAGTTTAAGCAATCAATGACATTGCCCTTTTCGAAGGGGCCTTGGAATGTGTAAGGCAAATGTTTGGTTGCATTAAGATCAGGGAAATTCTGTAAAGACGTCAAGACATTGACTGCTCCTGCAGCGTGCTTCTGCCCATTATCACATTTGGCAAAACAGGTTGCGCTCATGCAGAAAACCCCTGCTGAAAGATGCAAGAGCAGGCATTAAATAGCAAGCGGAGGTGTTGCTGATGAAAGAGGGTAGACACACACACAAAAGGAAGACTTAAAAGGACACTGAGCATGTTCTCTACAGAGTGGGTGTTCCTGGCACAGTGGCAGAGGACATGCTTTGTAAGAGGAGGTCCCAGGTTTTGTCCCCAGCAGCTCCAGTTAGAAAGTCCCAGAGCTGGAAAAGGCCCTTTGCCTGAAGCCCTAGTGAGCTGTGGTCATTTGGAGATAGATGGACACAGCTCCAGCATCAATGGCCATTCCTGACATCCTATGGCAGCTGCCAGGGGCCGCAATGTGATAGCGGGGTCCACTGCTGACATCTCTCTCAGGTCTCCCATTAACATTTTCAAAGGCTATGGTGGCTATGGCTGATGGGAGCTGGAATCCAACAAACATCTGGTGGGTCACAGTTTCCCCATCATTATCAGCACCTCCAAGAGACAAACTCTTTAGATGCTGCACCAACTCAAGAAGCTAAATGAGAAACGTTGATATGTGGGTGACTCAACCAGCTTACGTTCTTTCCTCAGACAAGGTTGGCATTCAAGGGAACATCATAAAATACAGAAGTGACATTATTTGTCTGCTGTTTAAATACAAGTAAGGAATGCTTACCGCAACACTGCTATCTTTTGTATGGTCCATTAAATCCCTGGGCAGTGAGTCATTTCATAGACAAAAACACACCACCAGCAGTACCCCTCCTTGGAGAGCACTATCGCTTCCCCACAAGGATGGAATAAGCAATGAGATGCAATTTGTTGGATTTCTTGAGAACAAGAGGGACCTGCAGCAAAATGGTGCAGCGTGAAGCTTTGCTGTTGATTGCTCCAGCCAGTCAGCTGTACTATCTTCCAAGATCTTCCCTTTCTCCTGCCAAGTTATCTGTATGAGTACTTACCAGCCATGTTTGCTTTTTACAATACATGATTAGGAAAATGTCATTATTAAAGGCAAGGTGTGACTCAAGGCAGAATTTGCATATTGAAAGGACCTGTAGGGAGTGGTTCACCTATGTTACTCCAGAGCCAAATGTTCAGGTGCAAACATCTGGGGTGCAAATGAGGATTTGGGTTGTGTTAAGTTTTCTCCATGAGACATTCTATAACAATGACCTTTTGCGACATTTTAGACCTGCTCACAGTCCCCCTTTGCAGCTTCTTTGACACGCAAAATATAGGTTTTTCTTCCTCTTACTGACTACATGATCTAGACAATCAGGGATCCTGTAGCCGGTTTGATGTCATCACAGCACCGTGAAACTGATCTGTTTTGGCTACATAATGACATGATAAAACCAGTTCAGACTGAGGGCAACGAGAGAACATTCTCTCCCTGTTACATGGTTCCCTAAATGATAACTGAATGTGGTGGAATGTTTTGCAGGAATGCATGGCATTTTGCTTATTTTTATTTATTTTTTTTAAATCACCTGTGCCCCACTTTAGCACACTGCACCCCAATACAGGATCCCTGTCCATAGGTTTGGGCCCACAATGTGTAATGAGTGAAGGACAAACGTTGGTACCGAAAGCATTGCTTTGCTTTTCCTGAGAGAATATATGGAGAGAAACCTTTAACTCAGGGACATCACAGAGTTGGGTCTCTAATGCCTTTGTCCCTGATAACCTCCAGGGAGCTCAGCCATTGAGAATCAACCCAGCTACTTTCTGCATGGATGCATTCTGCTTCGGTTTCTTGGTTATGCTAGAGAATGATAGAATGTCAAGAGCTAGCTTTTATAGAGAAATACAGACTGATACAAAGAAAGCCTTCTTTTCCAAAAGTGCAATTTCCTGCATTTTAAATCAGGAAGGTAGCATGTTCAGA